AATTGTTTAACACGTTCCGGACCGCGTGACACACATGGTGTGTCATGCATTTGCCCTATGTGGCGTTTTGTTCAACTATTCTGACTTTTCTTTCATGTTCTGTTGTTGCGAAAACACGTTTTCTGTTATTAACATTTCCTTCCTCTTGAGCGATTGAAAAGGGGGAGAGAAATACTGATCGGTTTTTGATGAAAAATAATGAAATAACTGGGACAAGCGCGATGTACGGCGGTCCGCAATATGCTGAAAAAAATGGTTTTTTTTCTCAGCGTAACCCAGAGACCATCAAAGGTCTAATAAGTTATGCTATATTAGTCAGAATGGAAGCTGAGTGTTTCTAGTGTCGCGTTCACACTTTGCGACAGTGCAGTCAGCAACTATCAGCGTTTCGAGCGTCCGTCAGCGTCAGCGACGAAGAGAGTGTAGATACCGATCTAGTGAACGGCAGCGTCTATCAACGTGCACCAGCGTCCACAAGCGAAGATCAGCGCCTCGGGGTCTAGGAAGGCATGGATATCGATCTAGCGTCCACCAGCGACCAGGAGCATGGTGTTGTGTAGTAGTACGGTGCGGTTGCACACGTCACAATTCCACGATGCCTAGTCCGGCTGTCTCCTCTTTCCCGTTTCCCCATGCTCTACAAGCAGCACGAGCAGTCTGCTACCCTCCTACTCCCCATACTCCCCTTAGTCGCTGGTGGACGCTGCCGTTCGCTAAATCGATATTTATACTTCCGTAGTCGCTGACGCTCGAAATGCTGATGATCGCTGGAGGACGCTGGTGGTCGCTGTGGACGCTACCGCGAAGTATGAGCACGCCTAACCCTTTCCGATGAAACAGTACCCTGAAACATGTGTTCCGGGTAATTCTAGTGTTAACTTTTCTTGACGAAACAGGTCCACTAAGATAAGGGATTATACAGGGCGCGTACACTGCATGGAGCTGTGATTGGTCAGCAGAAAATGCGCTAATAGTAGGCTGGCCCTTCATGGAGCGACCACTTGATGCCACGGGTTGCGGTAAAACTTTGATATGCCTGATAAAGCAATACTGAGCGCAGGAAAAAAAGATCGAGGTTCCGTGCATTTGAATCCCCTCATTTTTTTTCCAAAAAATGCTTCCAAGGTGCTTTTCACTCGGTAGCATGGGTGGAGAAAGAATTCCTACTTCGCGTTCCATTGGCACCTCCCTCCTCTTCGAAAGAGGTCGCTTTGCTGAAGAAGGCATGGTAGTGAGAATTGCCTCGTCTGCACCACCATCGTGAAATATTCCCTAGAGGCTGCGGGCACGATTGCTGGAGGCGGGCGGTTGTTGCTAGCATCATTGGTGGAAGAGCTTGTATTCTACCACACTCTGCTCATCCCTTCCACCAATGACGTTCGCGACAACCGCCCGCCCGCATCGTTACCACTGCCTTCAAATGTGAGAGAGTAGGATCATCAGTGAACGCATGAGGTTAGATTAAAGGAGAAAAAAAATTATGAAATTCTAAGATTCCATTTAAGGGCGCTTTGCGTAAAAAAGATAAACCCGTGGATAATCTTGAAATGATCTCTCCGCCCGTACAACCACCTCCTTCACCTTCAAAACCTTTGGTTCAACAACCGCTAAGCTCAATGTCAACCCTTCTGAGGAAACGACAAAGTGCCTACGAAGAGAAACCGGAGCCGCAAAAAGAAGATTCGGTATGTTACAATTACAAGATTTTGTAAGATTCGGCATGTTACAATTACAAGATTTTGTATGTTTTGATACCCTCGTGAAACCTACGAGAAGCCCTTGAAGACAGTTTCCGCAGGCAAGTGGTCCACGAAATGCCTCCGTGAATTTGGCAACATTGTCGGCATTCGCAGGCAATGTACCGCGACGTGTCGCCTGAAGCGTCGTAGGGCGATTTTCCATGCCCTTGTCAGGGAATTGGTTGCACGTCGAATCCTGCTGATTGGGCTTGCCGACGTCCGACAAACTCGTCCAAGGCGCCGGCCCCACTGCTAAGGGGGTCTCTGTTCAGAGTGTTCCCAAGGTTTTTTCGTTTTTCCCTCTATCGGGGAGTTACTAATGGGCTATTAGCCATACTACCCGTAACACTTAATCGCGGGAATTTTCTTTGAAGGTACAATTTGCGTTGCTCCCGTGATCGAAGTCGGGCCATTATTGTGCCTTGCTCATTTAGGCATCTCACTTAGGCATCTCACTTCTAAAACATAATGAGGGACCAATGAGAAAGGCGCAGGGCGGCTCGACTCCGCCTATGCCATCAGCGCGGATTGTGCCTAGCTTGCTTGAAAATCACTTTGAACTTTCTTTTGAGGTCTCTGCTTCCCCCTCCTCAAAAACATCGCAACCCAGAGAAACCACCGAGGAAGCAAAGACGGTTAGATAGATACAGCTGTGCGGTGCAACAGCAGGATGATGATAAAAGTAGCACAAATTCAGATTGCGCCACGACCTGGAAGTGTTCAAGAAAGATTGCAGAAACTAAACGGACGTGATACTGCTCCTATATTAAACATGGCTATTGTCGCGAATTCGAATTCAAGTTCCAAGTCTAACGAAACCAAAGGTTCTTATCAGCTCTTTTTAAAGAATGATTCATTTTTTCATCCCAATAAGGGAAATGCTTTGTGGGGAACACTTCAAAGGTTATTTTATGTAGATGGTCACAAACTTGCTGAGCCTTTTCAGTAACTGTTGTAGTGCCGGAGAAAAACAAGAAAAAAGTGAAACAGGAAAAAAACAACAATCAGAAGAATCTCTTTCGAGCTCAGGCTATACTCAAGCTGCAATACTCGGGTCGATAATAAGTTTTTGCAGGGAGTAATCATCAGAGGAAGAGAACAACCCGAGTGAGAGGGCGCAGATGAGCGCGTTTGGCTGTAGCTGGGAGCGTGAGCGGAGTCGGGAGGCAGTGTCCTGGTGTCACTATCTTCAAGCCGGGGACGCAGAAAATCCGGCGTGGGTGAACTAATTTCTTGGAAGGGGTTTGTGTGAAGTGGTCCCTTCACTAAAAGGTTTTTTCGCAACCGCATCAATGGCCTAGAGAGGAGGGAGCCCTAACTTTCATAAAAAAACTTGACTTTACAGAAATTGAGGTAGTGACTTACCAACCACTCTTACTCTTTATTTCCTGCTCACCTTAGAGTTTCCTGTTTGCTCTGAAAATTTATTGTACAGATTCCCCGAAAACGGAAGAACCGAAGAAAGGAAAAATATTGCCGATCACTACGGAGAGCAAAACGGTTACCACTACACTGACGTCTACTAGTACAAAGACGAGAAAAGCCAATGTAGAAAAGAAGGTGAGGAGCTCCCTCAAACGTTGTCCATCAGCCTTTCGATTTCATTCTCAACGATAAACCCTATGGCTCTACTTATGCAGGTTCAGCACGTTTCCGAGGGAAAATGTGTCGAAGAAGTTGAGCGAACGTGTACAGAACAAGATGAGGTTAGCGTTACCAAGGTACGATTTAAAATAGTATCTGTTACAAATTAATTAAACAGATACTGTGCGTACTGTATATAATAGGTAGCTCGGGAGGTGAGCTAACGTGGTTTAACAAGAGCAAAATCTCACTGTAGTCCTCGCCATGACCAAGAAACTCCCCCATCCGTCTGAAGCCATCTGAGAGTATGCAAACATTAACATGCGACCGGCTGGCCCAATCAAGCCATTGCATGGACCATTCAAAATTCCAAGCAACTCTTAATGGAAGTAGAATGCCTGGCGCTTCCCGAGAAGAACAATGAACATAGCAAGCTCCATTCGTTACACTTATGACTCGTTTCTACCTGTTCCCTACCTATGGCTTAGTTCTATATGTTCCCGCTGTTCCTTGTGGTTCCGTTTCATCTGTTTTCATTCAAGAAAAGATCTCGCAAGAACTCGAAAAGACCTCCTAAAGTCTTCGCTATCGATCACTCCTTTTTTGAGATGCGACACGCATTATACTTCCATTCAGAATCGCAGTGGCTCATTAAATGCGATGTCGTCTAAATGGCGGAGCCAGCCGATGTACATGCCAATGTTATTATCCTCCCACACGAACCAATTTGCCCTCCTCGGAGGGGACAAGGCTCGGTTTATCTGGGCGGATCCGGTGCGGGAATTGACACCGGGACCGTGGGCGTGGTATGCGTGCCACTTGCCACTAAACCACCTCCACAATATATACTGTTTTGCAATTGTTTTTATTTTCACTGGTTGATCTGTTGTGATCAAGTCTTCATGCTCCTCTATTGAGTAAGGGGTAAACAACTGGTACTATTCCTAGAGTACAAATCTAGTTAAATATCTTTTGTTGTTGGGTTCTTGAACGTTTGTTGACGTTCAATTAGTTTGATTGAAGACGGAAGGTGGGAATAAGTGATCAATGAACAGATGTGTCTCTGTTATTGAGTTAACCATGCGCTTTCATATATCCAGACTTCTCTGAGCTGCTCTTGAAGTGAGACCTGTGCCGCCTACGCTGCCAAGGCCAAGCCTACCCCCCTCCCGTCTCATTTAGAATCGCTTCACTTGTATACTACCTGCACTGTCGAAACTGGTACTGCAAGATCAGAGCTCTGCTAGGCACCTGACGTAGCACTGACGAACTCGTGAAAGTGATAGAGCTTGCCGCTTTCGCTTGTCAGAAAGCTTTGCCACTTTCGCTTGCCAGAAGGCTCACCGGAGTATCTGGGAGGGACTGCAAGAGTATTTCAAAGGAATCCCCCTATCGAATTCCTTGTCAGAGGCCTGCCCTCGTGGCGCAACCGCGGCACATGTGTCATGAATTCATTGCATTATGTTAATTATTGCGGCATGAATCGTTGCCTATCCTGCTAGTTCCTTGTCGCACCACAATTCTGTCTGTCGTTTCGAAGGCGATTCTTATCGAACATGTGTGGCTTCAATTTAGCTCGCACAGGGAGCATCTATACACTTTTTCATCGTAGTCCGTTGCCCGACGTGTCTCCCGCTCGGCGCATTATCAACTATTTCGCAGTTCGTCACTGAGGTTTTGGCAGCCCGCTCTGTTCTCCTTTATCGCCCTACATCTCTTTCTATCAGCTCCTGCGGAATGTAAAATGGAATCTTTTTGCTGGAATGTAAAATATTCCTTCTGCTTTATAATGTTGGATGCACCGCCCTTTTTGAAGTCATTAATCAGTGCGCTGTATTTTTTGGGTGTGTGGCATTACTTCCGGGTCTCGGCGGAGACGCAGAGCATTTTTAAGTTATAGACATAAGAGACAGAGGCACAAGGAGTGTTGAAGCGTCGCAGCTTTGCCAGAACGGGGATAGGGTGCTGCTGGGAAGTAAATCACTCTGCCTTCAGAGCCTAAGAAGTAAAGTCCCACACCCCGTATGTTGTTCAAAGCCCGACCACGCTTGTCCTGAGGCAAATCTCAGAAGGCAGGGCACATCATCATTGAAGAAGACGAGGAGCTTGTAGCTGACCGAACGAGCATTTCTTGCTGCTATTCTTTGCTGTTTTAAGGCACGTGTGGTAGTAGAGTCACTACAGCAGCTACAGGCAGGGTCACTTCGCGACTCGCCGTGGCGCGAGTCAACTTGGACTGGTCACTTGGACTTTAGTAAGCTCTTCTTCCAAGTAAGCCTCTTCTTCACGTCGCGCGTAAGGAAAGAACTGTACCATTGAGAAAGACCGTCAACTTTGTACAAGGCAGTCTCGCCCACGTAGTTGTATGATAAAATTTCGCCAGTACGCGCTAGTACTACTTTTAGAAGCGTGCAAACCTTGCTCGACCGCTGTGTCGCTGGGGGCTGTAAACGGGATGAGAATTCTTTCCGCAGCGACGGTGCTCTTGTCCACTAATTGGCTGCACCACTAGTCGTTTCGCTGGTGGAGCACGGGTTGACGCCGGCGCCAAAACCCAGCGTCCTGACATACCCCCGCACCCGCGACCCCCCGGCACCGATACCCGCCATGGCCTGGTGAATAACATGAGAGCGTTATATGGCCAGTACTCTACTAATACACTGATGGCTAATCGATTGTGCTCGGTTCACCTCTCGCTTTCGTCTTCACCGAGGTGTCCTCTAGGAAGCGAATTATGGCCAGCGGTGGCGCGACGGTGGTATTGCTGTACTTGACATGAGCCTTCGATGCGGTTTTGCACTATTCCATTTTAAACAACTATTTTCCTGCCCTTCTGCTTGAGGAAAGACATGACAAATAACAATTCTACATCGACTAATCACACTCGATGAGAACGGCAATGAGCCCACTACAAGGCGCAGCCGAAGCCATTTTCACTAGCGCTACTGCAAACACGCCCACTCCTTCTCTCTGGGATATGCGGTGTATGGATGTTAGTGAGAGGACGTTGCATTTCAAATATTTTACATTCCTCACCAAGATGATGCGCCCTGGCAGCAGGGTGGAACTCAAAATGAGTGGTGTCGGGCATGTTGGGGCTCCACTCATTATTCGATAGATGAATCACCAGCTAGAGTCAGTACAACCAGTATCTAGGAGAATTTACTTTGAAATATTATCTCTTATTTAATAAAGCATAGCGCATTTATCAGATGTATTATTATGTCCTTTGACTTGGAAAGTGATTGCCAATTATGTCTTCGAAGTTTTATTATTATTGCTATTTTTACTGCTAGTAACGATGGCGTCGGTGATGTCAAAGGCCGTCTTGGCTGCGCTCACCGTTGTACGCCCTATCATTTGCAGGAATCATATGTAGCTGTATCCATGCTAGCAGCCACGATGTTCCTTGTCGTTAAAGTGATAAAATTTACTTTTGGTAATGAATATTGAGAAATGTATGGTGAAAATAATCTTTATAATGTGCAAGGGTTATGTATAATTAGTGGTCTTCAAAAAATCATTAGAAGATTGACCACCTACTCCTTAATATGATCAGTAATTACGTCCTCTTCCTGTATTAATAATCAATGAATGGTCAATTCGTGATTACTTTTCTGGAACCGTACTAACAAGTTGGTCGCTTAAGAAGAAGCCACTACTGTTACTAATTTTAGCTGATATCTGTTCAGATTACGATGCGTAAAGCGGAGACTCTTGAAAAACCCGGAGCGACAACGTCGGTGAAGAAGAATGTCGTAAAGCAAGATCTACTTCGTTCGACGGCAGAAAAAGAACGAATCGAAGAGCAGAATAAAGATGCCGCCAAGACCACACGTACTGCACGAAGTGCACTTTCGAAGACTACTGAAAAAGTGACTGTTGAGGAATCATCCAAGGTACGGCTTTAGTGCCAAATGACGCTCATCGTGATTGTTTTTTAGTCAGACTAGCAGAGATTTTCGCTGATATTGGCTGGGTAATCGCTGACCTCATGGGACACCGTAGTCAATGTTTACGGTCAGATGGCCCAGGAAGTTTCTTAATACGAAGGTGGTGGGATAGCGAGGGAAAGTGCTCTAGGAGGGGGGCGGGAGGAGAGACACCATTCTGTCACTGGCTGTTGGTTCAGACTGGTCTTATTGGTAGGAAAAGCGTCCGTCGCTAGGGTCAGTTCTACGCCTGCTGACAAACCCCACACCCTCATCGCCCCAATATTGACTGCACTTTCAGCGAGCGTGATCTGTGTGACTTCTATGTTAGACTAGTTACAGACGGTGTTGCAGGGGGTCTCCTTTCTTGTACAGCAATGTATACTCCTTATCCCTGAAACGGGGTAGGCGTGGCATTCAAACATGGCACAGAACTGGCTACTCGTGGGATATTTCAATCTGGGACAACAGCCATCTTGTTCTTTGTTGGACAGAGACCAAGGTACGACGAGTAGAGACGTGACCACATTTGGGCAAAAATCGAAAATATCTCTCTAAAAGCATAGCCACCACGACGTTTTGTTGAAGTACGCAGCCACGCCTACCTCATCTCAGGGATTCCGAGTGTACATGTCTGCTTTTTGCATTTTTGCATTTTAGATTGATGGCAAGCCGAACAAGGTGTCTGTTGCTGGAACG